CGCCCCTCGCTCCTTCTCTTAACAGCTGTGGTAATGCTGGGCATGCCAGTTACCTTTTCTGTGCTTATTTCTTGATTGAGGATTACATGACTATTAGACATGCTGTGGTTTAGAGGGAAGCACTTAGAACAGTGTTGGCATAGAGTAAACTTTTATAATCTATTCCATTTCTGCTCCGATACATGAAACAGTTCAAGGAGGGCAACTTCATTACTAGAGGGCTGGGAAACTAGAGTGGATAACATCAGATTATGCTTTAAGCTTATCTGTAGTAGAAAATACAGTCTTAACATGGAGGAATCTCAAAAGCATTATGCTAAATGGTACAAGCTAGCTATTTTATTTTTCATAACATTCTGAGAAAGGCAAAAAAATTAAGGAAAGAAATCTGACCAGTCATTGCCAGGAGCAACCATCTGGGGAGGCAATTCGACTACAAAGGATACTAGGGAACTTGGGGGCTATTGGAAATATGTTGTAATCTGAGCCATCCGATACAGTAGATAGACAGTAGGCACTAACCACATGTGGATACTGAGTACTTGAATTGTGACTAGCGCAAGAAAGGAACTGAACTTCCAGTCGTATTAAAAAAAAAAATTTTTTTTTTTTTTTTTAGTAAGCTCTATACCCAACACGGGGCTTGAACTCACAACTCTGAGATCAAGAGTGGCATGCTTTATAGACTGAGCCAACTAGGCACCCCAGGTGTATTTAATTTTAATTAACCAAAATTTAAACTTAAAAATTGATCATTGATTCAATTATTAGAAAACTTTTAAGTATGTTTAGAATAACTTTGGTACGCATATCTACTTTTTCAAGTAAATTTGATGAAGCAGATCACCTATTTCATATAAAAATTTAACTTTTTTTTTAAAGATTTTATTTATTTATTTTGACAGAGAGAGAGAGACAGCGAGAGAGAGAGATAGCAAGAGAGAGAGCACAAGCAGGGGGAGTGGGAGAGGGAGAAGCAGGCTCCCCGTGAGGCAGGGAGCCCTACACAGGGCTTGATCCCAGGACCCTTGTATCATGACCTGAACTGAAGGCAGACGCTTAACGACTGAGCCCTGAAAATTTAACTTCTGAACTGAGATATACTGTATATATGAAACACTAAATTTCAAAGACTTAATGCAAAAAACTCATCATTACTATTAAAATGATACTATTTTGGGGAGCACCTGGGTAGTTCAGTCAGTTAAATGGCTGACTCTTGATTTCGGCTCAAGTCATGATCTCAGGATCCTGGATCAAGCCCCAAGTCAGGTCCTTGCTCAGCTGGGATTTTGCGTGAGGGTTCCCTCTCCCTCTGCCCCCTGCCCCTCCCCCTGCTCTTGCACGTGCACACTCTCTCTCAAAAAAATAAATAAATCTTAAAAAAAAATAAAATGATACTATTGATACTATAAATGATACTATAA